TTCGTCCAAATCTGTCGGAACATCTTCTCAACGTCGGCTACAACCATCACCTGACGTGTACGACTGCGGAGAACAATCGACCGTAAATCCTGTTGTACCACAGGTCCAGCATAGAGCGCATCGTTCAGTGAAATCCCAGAAGACGTCTTGCACGAAGCATCGAAGACCACCCTGACTTTGGTCGTGGTGCTTGACTCCTTGATTACAGGATGATGTGGCAGGAAACATCGTTTAACTGTCCCCTCCTCTTTATCGTCCACTCTTCTCATGTGACCGAGCTCGAGATATTCGGTCATGAAGTTGAAGTACTGCTTCTGAAGGTCTGGATCCTTTTCCAGTCGTCGTTCCACAGCTCGAAGACGTCGTAGCGCGATGTCTCTCGATTCGCCTAGTTCCGCTAAAACATTGTCGTTCTTAGGGAGAGTGACGGTGTATCGGCCTTCCGAATTCCGTTCGACAGTGCGCTCGAATTGCTCTTCGCAGCGCGTCTCGTCCGGAGATAACTTGTTGACGGCTCCCACTTCCTCGCAGGACCAAAACCGTGCCATTAGCTCCTCCAGATTGCTCGATACCGACATGTTGCATGAATATCTCACACCATGATTTGATGTAGCGACCTCGCCTGTCACTATCCATCCGAAAACTGACTCGGTGAGTACTGGCAGACCGGTTCCCAGCGGAATCTCCCTTCCGGATGGGAAGAAGCTGAAGAAAGCTTGGATGCCCATGACCAAGTCGACCTTTCTCGAGCGGAAGAATTCAGGATCTGCAAGTTCGATGTCTGCCGGTATGTCCCATCCATTTGCCTGCACTGTAGAAGTGGGCAGACAAGCTGTGACCTTCGGCAAGACGAGAAAATCCATCGGTCTAGAGTACGACGAGACTCGAGACTTGACGACGGCTTGAATCTTTCGTGTGACCCTCGTTCCGGATTGTCCGATGCCCAATATCGAAATATCCACCTTCTGGCTAGCAACCTTCATCAACTGACTCAGACCTTCAGAGATGAAGTTGCATTCCGACCCGGAATCTAATAGCGCGCGTGCCGGATAGCGAGAACCTTGGTTGTCCTCGATTACAACTACTGCCGTAGCCAGAAGTACCTGCGATGTCGGAAGCTGCGCCGTGTTTGACGATGCTGTCTCGACCGATGCTGCATTCCCTGCCTTGGGATCAAAACTCGAGTCGTTCCGGTTGCCAGTTTTACCCGAATTGGCCTTCTCGGGTGATCCATTCCTACTGCTTCTTCCTTCGCCCTTGAAGCACAGCAGTGTGTGGTGTCGAGCCTTGCAGTTGCGACACGAAAACTTCGACGAGCAATCTCGAGCTAGATGTCCTCGTTTGAGACAGTTTCGGCAGAGTGACTGTGCTCGTAGAAACGACTCCCTGCTGGACAGCGACATTTTCAGGAAGGCTGGACACGTATGTAGTCCATGAACCTCCGTACACGATGGGCACTTAGCGGTGTTCCACTGTACGGCGTTGTGGCTAACCTTCGGTGAAAACGACTTCCGTCTGGGTTGTTGTGGCTCGTTTTTGGGTTCTGCCTTCGCTGGTAGAGACTCCAGGATTTGAATTCTCCGATGTAGGAACTCCTGCAAGTCCTGTAGAGTGTCTTGCTCCTTAGCGGACGTGTGTTCCTCCCAGCCACGTCGAGTGACTGGATCCAGACGAGAACTCAGCAGTTCTACCAGCAGCAAATCCTTGTATTCGGCTGGTTCAATGACTTGATCCAATATCTGAATCGCACGATCGAATCCATCAGCCAGTTTGTGGAGATCCGTGACCGATTCCTTGGTAAGTGAAGGCAGTTTCACTAACGCTTGTACTTGCTTCCTTTTCAGTAGCTTGCTGTTGTTGAAGCGTTTTAGCAACGACTCCCAAGCTATTTTATAATTTTCGCTAGTTATCTTCAGCGGATCGACTAGCGCCTTAGCTTCGCCTGCTAAGCAACCCTTCAGATAGTGAAATTTCTCCACATCCGGAAGTTCTGCCTTCTCATGGATCAAGGACGTGTAGAGATCCCTGAAACTCAGCCAGTCATCGATGTCTCCGTCGAAAGTCTGCAGCTTGATTTGCGGCAGGCGTACACGGTCCATTGTACCATGTGTACTAGCGGTGTCTGCACTCCGTGTTGACTGATTTAATGCTGATTCTTCCTGGAACTTCTTGGCCTTCTCCATCAAGAACGATTTCGCATCGTAGTAGCGATTCTCAAACTCCAATTGCTCATTTTCGACACCTTCTTGCTCTTCGTAGTCCTCATGCGATTCGATTTCCCAAGAAGTCTCACTAATTTGCTCCCACAACAAATCTATACGTTCGAGGCGGACATTGACCTGACTAGCTGTTGTACCCTCTTTATAATACCTAACGAACTGACTAATGTTGTTTAACGACGCTCGAAGACCCTTGAGTTTTGACTTCAACGCTTTCAAGGAGTCGGTTGACCTGGTAATCTTCGTTGACATGGTTGTTGTTGGAGGAATCACGGTACGGAAACGAAGAACCAAGAGCCAGTCAGTTGGTAGGTACTAGTTGTTGATCCTCTCGAAGTTTGGCGAAACGTTGGAAGATCAGAGAATCGAAAGGAATCCACGATGTAGTATACAAATTGTCTGCTTCGGCTGGGCATATACTGTTCAACTCACCTGTGAGAGGAACCAGTGGTGCTACCGAAGCCAGATAGCAGTATATTCCAAAACGGTGCGCCTCAAAACGTACAATCCGTAACCTCAGATTCGAACTCGAGCCAGTGAAGAGCGAAAGAGTGGAAAGGCTAATGTAGTAATCTATATTTGAGCTTCGGCTGAACATATACCGTTCGGCTTACCCGTGCAAACGGCAGTCTGTACCAGCAGCCGAATCCAAAATTGGCTCAATCACGATAACTATCCTCTAGTCACGAATGTATACAAACGGCAAGATCGTCTCGATTGTTTATCCAGTGCAGCGAAGGAGAAAGTACCAATGTAGTATAACAAGAGAGTCTGCTTCGGCAGGACATATACTTATTCTCACCTGGAGAACTACAGATGGTGCTGAACGTCACGCAGAATGTAAAGTAGCAGTCCGAAAACAAACAAAACCTCAGGGCTTGCGTTCGTGAATGAATTGACTCCAATAGTCCAAATAGCATTGAAAGGTTAAATTTATTTAGGTGCGGTATCAATCAATTCCAGCTTCGGCTGGGCATATACTGTAAAATGTATTTACCTGGCTACGATGACCGATGTACGATGCCCAAGCCTGAAGCTATCGTGTTGTCGCTGTCTCGTCTAGTCGTGAGGAAGGCAGCGCCAGAATTGTAGTCGACCGCCCTCAATCATCACCGAATTCCTCGAATGGTGCTCGAAATCAAGTTCTTCGTGAACTGATTCACCACTTTGACGTCCGAATTCCTCGTTGATTCAACAGCAACAGACAACGAATTGAAATGTGGGCGTTAGTAAGGAATATTTGTCGCTTCGGCGGACATATACCAGTTCTTACGTACCTGAACGGTAGTAGAACAACGCTATGGTTGTCTACAATTCTGCTGAGAATCGGTATTGGCCTTGCGAATTCACAATTCCATTCGTAACGATTGTTGCACGTCAGCGATGGCGATTTTCCTCACTGTACCGCAGCTGTTGATGATGATTTCCAGTGATGGTGGCTTTCCTGACGCAGGATAATAGGTGGTGTTGTATGTTGGCAATAGATCCTTTCACTATCATCGACGATGGCGATCGGATCCCTTTGATAACGGCTTTAGATGGCGATGGGTCCTTTTCAGGGCACTTAAGTATGGCGTAGAACCTTTGTTGCATACGAGGCTGGCGGTGTGCAGCTCGTTCGATGGCGTAATGTCGATGGTTTTGGCCAGATCTTCGAAATCCGACCGATCCGTAGTCCACCGGCAGTGGAAAGATCCGGCTCGAAGGACCAAATTATGTCGGGGACCGTCCCGACCGATTGCTGATGACTTCCACTTGCCAGGCGAACGTTCCCTTTATCCTCCTTACTTGATCCTGTTGCCTTCCGTCATCCGTAGACCTTCTTTCGCTAGCACCAACTACACCAATGTCCACACAAAATACATTTTATTGCCACTAAAACACCGAGCTAAACACTACATCGAATTTTATTAATATACACTAATTTATTACTTTAATTAAAACTAAAACATATATTTTTTGCGTATGGGGTTCGCCCCGGTCGACTACTCGCGACGGTGTACTTTCTAGACTAATTAATTTCCTATATTTACATTTCTATCGCATAATTCTACTTCCCACATTCTTCGGCGAGAAACTCTCTCCTTCTCCGTGCAGTTCGTGCGTAGTAGTGAGTGACCACGGCGAATCGGTTCACTACCACTAGCCACCACACTCAACCGATTTTTAGCACCGTGGAGTACCTAAACTTAGTCAGTGCGGTTGGCTGCATCCGTAGTTTCATGCTGCTCGCAGACAGTGGGAATGACACTGATGAAGACTTTCAAAGGTCGTGTATCACAAATAGCTCAGTCAGTAAAGGAACATAAGCAGTACATTTTGGGTTGGTAACTTTGAAATCCAAAGCGTTAGTGTAAAATTAAAAGATAGTTTAGGCTAAGAATTATATCAAGCAAGATATCATAAATAAGCGTGATTATCTCTCACCCCAGCAGGCCTGGGTTCAATCCCAGTCGAAGCCAAGGAAGTAAAGCCGTTGGTCCCCGGTTCATGAGTTGATGGGTCGATAGGTAGGGTCCAGATGTGAAAGCTGCCTCTCTGGCGTCGGTAGCATTGGTGCTCAGCACGGAAAACAAATCAAGGGAAAAAAACAGACATCATTAACACAAACTTAAAAAACTGGAACCCTACTATATTTCCACAAAACTTAAAACATTTATGTATACAGCCGCCGCATACATGTTTATCCCATGTTTCAGAAGAGTAAATAAGCAAATGACTCCTATTTAGACAACTACTGAACAATCTGAATAATAATATAATGCTTTCTTTTCGTTCCAGAGCCCTGATGAAACGCTGAGTTCGGAGAATCTGGTATGTTTTTTTTTTCAGTTTGCACAAGATACAGTAAAACGACATTTAAGGTTTCTTTCGCTTACATAAAGAGATTACAAAATACAGGTATGCCTCGCTGTTATGACAACGATTGTTTGTATTTCCATCGCTGAATTACCGTAAATGTGTACCGTAATGGCTCGAAATCCGAAAGTTGATTATCGATGCTCAAAACAGCACGTAAATTCTTTTATAGCATTGCCGTTTATTTATTTTTTATTTTTTTTAATTTTATTTATATTTTATTTATATTTATTATAACTTTTATTTCATGCCGTTCAGACATATTTATTATGTTGCAAAATAGACGTAATGTTTGATAAAAAGGTGCATTTCGATACTCAATCACACAAACCAAAATCACGCCGCCAAAAATTTTGTTGCCAGCGTGACTTAGATTTGTTTTACAAAGAAAAAAGTCAGCTAAATTTTAAAAATATTAATGTTTCCTCATGATTGAAACAAATTCCGATGGTGGCAAAATGTCTTTACTATAGAGAAACAGCTGCGCCTAACCTCAATTTACAAACCCCTCACCCTTTTTTCAATCTCACTATTTAGTACAAGAATTTCACAAAGACTACAAACCGCGCTCTTTTGGGGATTCCCGTGGAACAATCCACTCCAATTCGTCAAAGGCTTAGTTAAAATTGATAGTAACATGGAATCATACATGGTCTATTAATATAAACTTCGGGAAGTGCAAGATTGAACAATTAAAGAAGCAAAATCCAACAAACTTTTCATCAAAATTCTCAACATAACGGAGTTTCCATATTGTGGAATGAAACTTTTTCAAGATCTTAAAAAAAATCAAGTTAAAGGCTTTTTTATTTCAGGCTGGACACAACACAATTTAAAATCACGCACATATGAAAATTTTGCAGTTTTTTTTTAGTTCTCTGAAGAGTTTCAGAGCAAGCAACAATATATACTAGACTGGCCCACATTTATATGGGGGAATTTTTTTTATCATTTTTTTTCAACAGGCCAATTCCTAGATTTGTGCCATTAGGTGAGGAAATCTCAGCCCATTAGGATGTAACACGAGTTGGCGCTTTTGATTTAACATTTATATGAGGATATTGGTTGAAATGTATGTAGAAATAACATTACTTCACTCTTTCGTGCATAGAATTGATTCAGCAAACTCTATTAAGCTCATAATTTCAGCACACGTAGTTTAAAATATAAAGAACAACTTTGCTGAAGACAGCATCACGATTCAAGTTAGTATTATGGATATATTAATTAATTATGTGCATTTTGCTCGTATATTGCAACAAAATATAGGCAGATTACCACTAAAAATAAAAGTTCATATTTTCCACAGGCCAACATCCAGCCTCGTGTATTTTGGTGCAATAACCACTCTCTGAACTTTTAAGCACTTTTTGACGTTAAACGGGCTGGCGTTTTAGGTTTAATGTTCATATAGGAGATTTGGTTGAAATTTTCATATACAAATTGATCATTCATGATGTAATCTACAGAAAAGCTGTTACTCATTGATTGAACTACAAACCCTGAAAATCTGAATCAATTCGATAAAAAGGAATCTTTTTATGGTCGATAGAGTGTAGGAGTACCATTTTTCACGTATTTTATAGAAATTCCCCATACAAGATTCAAACTAAAAGCGCCAGCTCATGTTATTCGACTGATAAATGTTCAAAAACGAACTTGACGAAGTAATTGAGGCCTCAAACAACCAAGTCATTAAAAGCACGGTATTTCCAAGCCAGAGCTGGCAGCTTCGGTTCTCGGTCCGGTCCGGGAAATCTTTCGGCTTGGATATCTTCGCGACTGAGCTAGAGAATCATTATGCTCAAAAAAAAGCTCTCAATTAATAGCTGTGGAAGTGCTTCTAAAACACTAAATTGAGAGCTGGCAAATGCTCGAAAAAGAAGCGTTAATAGCCTAAAAGAAGAAGAAGAATAAGCATAACAAATTATGACATTTATCCTAAACCGTGTTTTGAAAACCTTGATGAATGCGCAGTTTCGAAACCCTTAGTTTTCCCAAACCGATGATATTCACCACGTTTGTTTTGAGGCACAGTACGTGTAAATTTATGAAATTTCTTCACTAAGTTAGATTAAGCATCAGGTTTATGGATAAAACTCATTTCACTGAACCGTGATGGAATTTGACGAGCGCATTCCTCAGTTCATTACCCAAGTCTTAGGCAGGGCGCCCACTGGTGTGGCGGTGATGTGGCATCATTAACTTGTCAAAACATCATTTAATGTGGTGTGTGGCCATCGTCAACATGATGTTTTGACGTGCTAGTCGGTGCCTGGTCTTAAAGCGTTAAACATCATGAAATTACCTAAAAATTTTCATCCCAGTGGGTCTGGGCTCAATCCCAGCCAAGTTCGTTGGGATTTTCTGAGATGAAAAATCTCTGATCACGGCTTTCTTCGGAAGAGAAGTAAAGCCGTTGGTCTCGGTCCTTATGTTGATTGCTTCGATATTTAGGGTCCAGGTGTAAAAACGCCCCTTTGGCGTCGGTGATTGACACTCATTTGGAGAATAGAAGCAACGGAAAGTAAGCAGGAATAATTAAAAAACCAAAGAAGCTTATTTTGACGTAATAAAACTTTGCTTGACCAACTAAAATTATAACTACATATTTAGAAAATATGCATAGGATCTATTGATTGGGTGCACACATTATTTTACTTGGAAATAATTCTACATAATATCAATCGATTTAATTTAATTTTACCGTAACTAAAATAAAAGGCAGATAACCAACGGCCAGCTACCACTAAAACATAGGCAGCTCTAAATTCAACACCGGTAAGCGAACGAAACCCCAATGTGGATGCACTTTCGCAAAACGTTATTTCATCAATTGATTATCGTTCCTTCCGTTTCATGCCATTCCAGCTTCAGCATCCGAAAGCCAAGGAGTGGTTGATTGCTGCAGCCAACGCAAACTACCAGGAGCTGGCTAAACTATCCACCGACTCTCCGAATCTGGTCAAATTGCAGGTGAGTACGCTTTTTCGATACGCTTTTACAAACCCAATTTATTTGCGAAAGAGTCTGGTGGTGACTGCTTGGACCTTTGCATATAACAAGCGGTGCATCATGCACCTCTGAATGATCAAAATACATCGGCTCTTTCGGACGATCAGCTCTGGATTTGGGCTGATGGTAAAATTACTGGCAATGGATAATTAATTAAAACTGTTTATTCAATCCGGTGGCCGAGATCTGAGGCCTAGAGAACGCTACGACCTCTACCAATAGCTCAGCACCGATTTCTCCTTCTTCTTTAAAATTTATTCGTTTGTTTTTGATAATATATGTGGCTAAATTTCATTCATAAATTTAAGTTTCGGTTTATTGTTTTATTGTTATTGCCTATCGATTTTGAAAGGCAGAAAATTTAACCGCTTCCTCTCGCTCGTTCCCGCTATGCTGAGTGCAATTTCGGTGAGCCTCCGGAGCCAACGCAGTTCGGTGGTACTTCGGGGATAATTTACTCTCTCCAATGCAGCCAGGCATCCACCAGCTACGCTTTAGATGCAGTGCTTTAACTCCCCTCGGCACATCGTACGTATATAGCGATTTACCGTGCATACGGTTGTTCATTTAGCTGGTGATCGAATCTGTTGTTAGTAGGACAATAATTCACAAATTTCCACCATAAATCGTTTGACTCAATTAAATGAGGTTTTTATTAACACGTGTACAATTGTATTTGTCCGGTTGCTAGCTCGTAAATCGTATGGCGCCACTCAGATTAAGCGCAATAACAGTGAAGTCAATTGCAAGTTGCTGAATCGTTTTTATCTAACATGGCAGAACCTGAGATCGAATCGTGGGTGATAGTTGATTATGTGTTTGAATATGTCGACATCTAGAATAGGTATGCACACAATTAAAGCAAATGATTATAATTATCTACTTTAATCTCGATGTTTAATAAAAGATGCCAGTTATTTTTACTGTTTTTGAAGTTTTAATTAGTAATGCACTAAATCGGGCTATGCTCAGGTTCTCGGCGATTACACCAAAATGTTAAGTGGTAGGGGAAACGCACCAGTATTGACCATATTCCTCTTTTGGTCACCTTTTAACGATATTTCACGTTGTTTACAATTTAGTTACATTCAGTTTGTTGGTACAAACCATATTCATCGGTGTACATAAACATTTCGACCACAAAATGCACGAATATTGTAACTTAATCGGTTTTCTGAGGTGTGGCAAAAATAGAAACCTATTGTCAATACTAGTGCACTTCCCCTATTCGGCCATTTCTCGCCTAAAATGTTGGCATGAAGGTATTTGAGCAAAATTTTGAGTCTGTAAAGCTTCATAGTACTATGGTGGCAGCATCACTAGTTTTAATCTAAAATGAACTAATACCATATTTTCAAAAACGATAGATCTTCAAAACCGACCGACTATTCCCTAAATCTCCGTGCTTCATCAGAATCAAGCCTTAACTCCTGAATCGATCCCAGCTGTCGCGTCATGTGTATGTCAGCCTTCAACCGTTCCCAATTTAAAAATTGCCTGCAATTACGTTCGTAAATTGAGAGGCGAAACCCTTTGACAGCTAGCATCCAGCCGTTGACGACTGGCGACGACGGTGATGATGGAGACGACGACGACGACGATGAATGACTGGTGACTCTTCTTTTGTCTTTTATTAGCTTGGTGGCCACTTTAGCCCCACCATGCACCTAATCCATCTGGGTGGCATCAACGGCCGTTGGGATTGCCAACGACCGCCACTCGCCACTACTACCAATGCAATGACGGAGACAGCAGCAATTGACGAAATCTTTCACCATGGATCGCGGCCATAGCCTGTCAGCAGCGCAGCAACCAACGTCGTCGCCAAAGAATGACGACAGTGTGCCATCGACGGCCATTATTTTGATGGGTCGGTTGAAACGACATCCAACCCAGGCCTTGGATGACGACGACATCGATGGTGATGGCAAAACAAACAAAAGCCCATTGAAAACGAAAATTTATTCTCATCGCACGTAATTTTCGAGCCGAAGCCGAAAAATTTATACCGAAAGGATGCATAAAATTTTGAAATTTCCTTCGTCGTTGTCATTTTTAGGGTGCTATTGGGTGTACGACCAGTGACAACATTGATCACCACCGTCATCGACATCTACAATCGTTGCACTACAACCCATTCACGACGACGATGACGACAAACATTCACTTGTCGTGGCGTGCACTCAGCGGTGAACGAAAGCAAAAGCACCCGTCGACTTATAATAATTTTCGGATGAGGAAGATCAAACAAATATCCAATCAGCATTATTCTAACCTCTTAGTCAATCATGCGACCTCATGCCATTTACCTTGGTCAATCATGGATACCTTTGAATAAGGCTGATGCAAATTTATTAATTATTTTATGTCAAAAATTACAAAATATCTAAGGGGCATAGCCCTATTCGAAATCTTCTTTTGCTCTGCGCTTTTCCGTACTTATTTAGTACCAATGCTACCGACGTCAGGAGCTGCCTTCCCACACCTGGACTCTACCTATCCCAAGGAAGACGTGATCAGACATTTTATGTCTCAGAAAATCCCGGTGGCATCGACTGGGATTGAACCCAGGCCTTTTGGAGTTCGTCCCTTGTTATTTATAGTCCCTACACTTCCTAGATCTTGCTCCACTTCTTCTAACCACCGAGCTCGCTGCACTCCTCTACATTTTGTACCAGTCGAATTCGATGCTAACACCATTCTTGCGGGATTGTTGTCTGGCATTCTTCAACGTGTCCCGCCCATTGTACCCAGCTTGAACGACTTACTGGATACTGGGCTGGTCATAGAGTTGCACCAGCTTGTGATTCATTCTTCTCCTCCATACACCGTTTCCATATACCCCACCAAAGATGGTCCTGAACAAGCGTCTTTCGAAAATTCTCAGTACTTGCAGGCCGCCACGAAATTGTCCAGATTGTGCACGGCTCATCTTTTAGAACCGTTGCTAAGCTGTATGTAGCCAAAAAGGCGATGCCGATACCAATGGTTACTTGGATTATCAGCGTCTTGTACATGGTACACTTATACGGTTTTCGTTTTTGCAGTGTTGCTAGAACCAAGGTTGCAAAGACTCATTTCAGCTAAAACAATGTTTTTCTAAATTATGAAATAATTAGATGCCATGATCAAATTTTGAATTGGTAGGATACAAGAAGAGGTTGCAAAGAATGTGTTTGACATATTAAACCTGTTTATTTCACTTCATGAGAGTCACAATCAGCGATTTTTCACAAACTCACTCACTCACTCACTCACTCACTCAGCGATCAGCAAATCGCTGATTGTGACTCATAGAAAGCAAAATTTACAAGTTTTATGTTTCCAACGCATACTTTGTAACCTCTTCTTGTAAGTTACAAGTAAAACATGCCATCATACCATCTTTTGGTTTTATTATTCCGAAAAACATTATTTTAGCTGAAATGAGTCTTTGCAACCTTGGCTAGAACTGCACTACACCGATATTATTCAGGATGTAAATATCTGGTGAACGTTTATTAACAAACAACTCGCGTTTGCTGGCGCTTACACTTTTGGTTATAACACCGCAAAAACGAAAACGACATTAGTACGGGGGTGAAGTCTACTTGTTCTCAGAATTTCTCTGTTACAGTTGTTACTCTACGTCACCAATGATCAGAGGTACACAAATTAATTCACCATTTCGAACTCGTCTCCGTCGAATATCACACTTCTGCCTATGCAAGCTCTATCTCACTCGGTTCCTCCAGCCAACAGATATTTAGTCTTCGACGTATTCACCTTTAATCCAACCTTTTCTGCTTCACGCGAATGGTGTACTGCTCAGCAACCGCCTACAACGTTCTTCCGACAGTGTCCACGTCGTCAGCGAAGCAAATGAACAAGCTGGTTTTATTGAAGATCGTGCTCCACATGTTAAAGCTCGCATGTTTCATAACACCATAACACCATAACAGCGCAATGTTGAACATGAGGCAGGAAAGACCATCGCGTTGTCGAACTTATGCTGGCTCATTTTATTAAGTTCCGCTCCGATACCTTCCTTCCCATGTGCCTTATTGTTCTTAAGTTGTTTTATAGCATCCTTAACTTCACTTGTAATGGGAGTTGGCATCTCTTTCATCTGCCATACCGATGAAGCCAACCCAAGCAACGTTGCAAGTTATATCAAGGTTGTAAAGCACGTAAACAAGTCTACATGGTCTACAGAACCATAATAAATCCAACATTGTTGCTTGAAGATCCTCCTGCGTTCTTGGTTGTCCACCTCTGCGCCATTCAGGTGTTAATCGTAGTGCTGCTTTCACCTGTCGATCACCTCACGTTCATCCGTCAAGACACTTCCATTATTATCCCGAAATATTTTGGCACGCGGCGCAAAGCCTTTGCGTCTTTCTAATACAGCTTACGCGTTTCTTGAAAACGTTTTTTTTTTTCCTTGATTTGTTTTCCGTCGATCTTGTTTTCCGTGCTGAGCACCAATGCTACCGACGCCAGGAAGGCAGCTCCAACACCTGGACCCTACCCAAGTAACCAAAAGTTCCGCATTCAACACTTCCAAGTTCCATAAAGTTCAAATAAAGTTCCGACAGAACATTCAAGTTCCATAAAGTTCAAATAAAGTTCCGACAGAACTTTCAAGTTCCATAAAGTTCATATAAAGTTCCGACCAAACTTTCAAGTTCCGTAAAGTTCAAATAAAGTTCCGACAGAACTTTCAAGTTCCATAAAGTTCAAATAAAGTTCTGACAGAACTTTCAAGCTCCATAAAATTCAAATATAGTTCCGACAGAACTTTCAAGTTCCATATAGTTCAAATAAAGTTCCGACAGAACTTTCAAGTTCCATAACGTTCAAATAAAGTTCCGACAGAACTTTCAACCCACATGAAGCAATCCGCACAAATCTTCTTTTGTAACAACATTTTATGTACATAAATATGAAATAATCAGTGGCCCGAATAAATCATAATTCTT